TTTACTTTACCTTCTTCAACCTCCAGGGGCCAACTTCACCGCCGGCTACACTCTCTTCCTTTGCTTGTTTGTCCAGATAGCTTCCATATTTCTACCCAACTTGTAACATCTAAGCTTCTCCCAGTCACAACCGGCCCCTTTCCTTCAATTTTTTTTCTTGCTTCCCAGATCTACCCAAAACAGCAACCCACTTCTTTCAACTTCCAGATCAACTGCCGGCTGCACTCTCTTCTTTTGCTTGTTTGTCCAGATCTGCTAGGTGGTCCCCCCGGAGACTCTTCTTGCTTCACAGGTAATTGTCGACTATTTTTCTTTTACACTTCATTTACAAAAACTGTCTTACTCATGTCCGGTGGCTCCCACTGCCGAAAATCCTCTTGTGACTGTTGGTTGACTGCCTTTCTTCTTCTTCTTTTTTTTTCTTATGTGTGCAGGTCTGTCCGGCTTGTGTCCGGTTTGTGTCCCACTACCGAACAGCCTTCCCTTGCCAAAATCATCTCCATGGCTCATGACCGAGAAGGGCAATCCATGCCCACCGGATCTGCTTCCATGGCCGGTTCAAAGGCCACTCATTGCTTGAGGTCACCTCCCCCAGATTTAGTTAAAATCTTTCAAAACCGAAATCTTCAAGATGATATGAACAGGATACTCCAAAAACAGAAACCGTGCCATTCAAACCAAACTTTTGTTCCTCATAAAAAATCTCAAATTTTGGGCCCCTATTTTGTGTCTCATCCGCCGGCCTCTCTTACCTCCATTTACCCACAGCCCAAAGAACATCTTCTCCCCTTCCAGGTAAAATCTGACTGGAATAAATGGATTGGCTCTTTTGGTGCTTGGCCGGTTTGGAGGAAATCAGAATGGACTGATTGGATAAACTGACTGGAACCTGCTTTTGGTCAAATTTGGAGAGATGCAGGCTTGTTTGAATTTATACAACTCACCAAATGCAGATTTACCATGGACAAGCCGGTCTTGGGTGCGGCTTTGTTATTTTGGTCTGGCTCTTTCAATTGTTTTCATTTTCCCTGTGGAGCCATGTCCGTAAGCCTTTTTGATGTCAGCTCGTTGACTGGATTACCCTGTACTGGAGAAGAAGTTTCAGCATTGCTAACCTTACCTCCAGGTGTTGAGTACAATGTAGAGTTAAAGCCCTTTTATCCAGCCTTTGTAAGGTCTGCCTATGATAAAAGTAAGCCTGTTGGTGCTGATGAGCATATTTCCTTTTTGCTTACTTTGATTTGCAAATATATAGTCTGCTCTGCTGGTAAAGGTCCCACTAAAGAGTTTATTTCCTTAGCTGCTGCTTTAGCACATGGTAAACAAATGGCTCTGGGTCCTTTTTTGCTTGCTCATTTGTACAGGAGTTGCCAAGATATCACGGCTCACCCTTTAATCATTAGTGGTTGGCCGCTGTGGGTTTTGCAGTTGTGGTTGTATTCTTATTTTCCAGCCCTCGCTCCTGTCTCTTCCGCTGTTCCAGCCCAGGATCTACTCACTTAAGGTTTCATGTTCAAGAATGCCGTGGAGAACGAGAGGAGCTTCGAGGAGTGCCTCGAGTTTTTTGCTTCTTTGTCTGTTGAGCGACCCGATGCAGACTTTGCTGTGTTTCTTGGTAGATCTCACGGTCCTTCATGGTACAGGGCCGATGTCAGATCCCCAGATTTTAGAGCATTTTGGTCTGTTTGTGTGACCTCTCAGGATTTGTTTGTTGGCTGTAGTTTGAACACTCTCAACTCCAGATGTGGCATGGAGCTTTATGCACCGAACCAATTCTGTCGGCAGTTAGGGTACTGCCAAGACATACCATTCCCGCCACTATTTTCCTTCAACTACAGCTATCCCCTTCGGTTTATGATTGGGGATTCAAAGATTTTGGTTACCAAACTTGCTAACATCACCAAAACTCTGCAGACACTGATCCTACCAGAACCTCCATTCAGACCAAGCTGCACTTCCTCTTACAAAAGTTGGTGCCATCCTCGGTTTCTTGATGTTATGGAGAATATTTCTGTTCTGGCCCCTCCACAACTCACCAAAAAATCTGAAGGGAAGAATGTTGTAAAAGAGAATGAGGACCTGGAATCTGCCATGGCCACCCAAATCAGCCAGCCAGATCTGCCAAGGAGAGCTCCCAAACTTCAAGTCAAAAGGAAATTTGTTGCTCTTGCAGATTCCACGGAAGAAGATACCCCCTCCAAGCAGCAGAGAACCGGAGGTAAATCCGCTTTGGCTTGCAACTTTGTGACATGTTTTCTGCTAACACTCACCCTTTTTTTTTTTTTTAGGGATCAAGAAGTCAGGAGTAAAACCATCTGCAGCCAAGAAACTTATCAAATCTGCCTCTCCCTCGAGGTCCTCTTCTGCCACGAAAACCGAGACGCAACCTGACAAAACAGAAGATGTTTCCCTCGGTCCTGCTGCCACGAAAGCTCCTGTTGAAGACATATCTACTGAGGATGATGGAAGCAATTCTGGCTCCTCTCGCACCAAATCTGGCAATGGTTCTTCACCCGCCACAAAGGTTAGAGGTTCTAGATTCTCTTCACGCATAGCAAGCAAAAGCTTTAGAACAGTTAGACCGAATGAACTCATCGATCTAAGCCCAGACAAAGAGAATACCCCTACACCTGTAGCTTCTCCTGCTAGGCATGTTCATGTTGATGACATTGAGGTTGTTTTACTGTTCTAAAATCTGCTTAGATCTTGAAATCTGTCACCATATCTGCCAGTTGCCATTTTTGATCTTTTGTCTTTGCATTTTATAGAGTGTTGCTGTTGATGTGCCCATGATTGATGATGATTTGGAGAATGAACTCCTTGCCCAGCTGGACATGTTGATGGATACTCCGACTAAATCTGGATCTGCCACAGATAGTAAAGGGAAGGCAGTTGCTGAAGAAGTGGATTTTGATATCAACCTTCCTACTCAGGAGCAGATTAGTTTTGTGATTATGACCATGCAAGAGCTCCTTGGTGGTGATCCTTCCCATTTCTGCAAAGTGCCGGACCAGCCAGCCGCCTTTGAAGCGGCTCAAATCCTTAGCCAAGCCCCACAATTATCATCAACTCAACAAAAATTCTGGGCAGACTTCACCTCCATCGATACCCATTTCAGCAGAAAATTCCGGGTGTTTGAGAGCAAAGTGGTGGCTGCAGAATCCGTGAAAAAATCTGTAGCAGATAGCACTGCTGCCGTCTTCAAGAAGAAGGAAGAATTCATGGCAGCAAAGGAGGCTCATATCACGCAAATTAAACATCTCCAAGGGCTCAAAGAAAAAATCTCTAACCTTGAAGCCGAGCTTTTGGAGTTGAGAAACCAAGTCCCTCTTGCGGAGCAATCTGAAAAGAGTTTGGCAGAACAGAGAAACAAGCTCCGCGTAGACATGGAAGTTGGTTTGAAATCTACTGCCAAGATCAAGGATCAGCTACCTTCCTTCACAGCCTCTGCAGATGAAGCCGCTGAAGAACTCAAGAACATGAGAGAAGAATGGAGTTCATGGCAAAACAACCTTTGTTGATTTTTCTCTTATGTATCTCTTTGTCTCTTTGTTGGTTGAAATTGCACATTGTCATGTTTGAACATATTGTTTGCGGCCTATTGGCCATGCAAACTTCTTTTCAATGTTGATCTCTTTCTTGGCTCATATTCTGGAAATCTGCTTGTTGTACTTTTTGTTCATACTCTGGTACAAGTTGAAATCTGTCATGGCCGAAATCTGGCCGCTGTGGTTGTTCACAGCCAAATTTGACCTACTTACAGATTTGGCTCAGCACTTTTTATTGAATGATAAAATGCTTAAAAACAATGAATTAAAATACTATACAAATCCTACCTCAAATCTGTCTCAGGTAGAATCAATGGTATCCAAACCTCTAGCCTCTCATATCATAGGATAGTAAGGCTTAAGGTAGATTTCATTTATTTTTCGAGGATGTAACTCTCCATTTAATGATTCAAGCCAATATGCTCCTCCTCTAAGCACTTCATGTATTCGAAATGGTCCTTCCCAATTTGGAGACCATTTCCCAAATATGGGGTCTTTCTTTCCAGGTGGCAGAATTACTTTCCATACCAGATCTCCTACTGCCAGACTTCTGGATTTCACCCGTTTGTTGTATGCTCGAGCTACTTTTAATTTCTGCGTTTGCAGCCTATCTAAGGCCGTCAATCGCATACCTTCAAGGTCTTCTAACTCTAGAATCATTGCTTCATTATATTCTCCAGAAGTGAGACCATGTTGAAT